CAATGTGTACCATTGTAGGCGCTTCCCCACTTCTAAATTCTTAAGGCAGAGTTGCTTTCCTTAGTGTAGAGCATTAAATTAAATGAAATGCTTAAATTAAGTATCATTTATTATCTTGTTTTTGAAAATAGCAAAGATTTCAGGCAGACACCTAAGTTTCAAGAAGACGAAATTCCAAGAGACTCTAAAATACCACGATTGCTCCAAATAATTCCAATAAAAGGATTTAGATTCTTCAAATCATCCAACAACCTTGTCACTTAAAAAAGCAAAGGGAAGAACAAAGATTTTTTTCAATTATCATGAATAAAGCAAACTGTTGTGATTAAATACTTTATTATGGTTGAAATTTTAAGTGCTGATAAAAGAAAGTCTTCGAAAGCCTAATCTTTCAGCTTAGAGTACACAGTAATTTTAATAATGTATAATGACATACATTCTTTTATGGAAACATAAAAACTCCACTCCCCAGGATATTCCAAAATGCTTTCACCTCTTTACCTAATTTTAACTATATAGATGCCAAGGATTATCCCCATGATACAGATGGCCAAACTGAGGCCACAAGGTTAAGTGACTTATCAAAGCCTCAAAGAAAGCCAGTGTCCAAGAGGGGATTTTTTTTTTAAATTTTTTATTTTTTATAAACATATATTTTTAAGGTCTGTGAATCGCCAGGTTTACACATTTCACAGCACTCACCATAGCATATACTCTCCCCAATGTCCATAACTACACCACCCTCTCCTGACCCCCCTCCCTCCAGCAACCCTCAGTTTGTTTTGTGAGATTAAGAGTCACTTATGGTTTGTCTCCCTCCCAATCCCATCTTGTTTCATTTATTCTTTTCCTACCCCCTTAACCCCCCATGTTGCATCTCCACTTCCAAGAGGGGATTTGTTTTAAGAAACCAACTACCTTCACGATGTACATAGAGAAGTGATTAGAATAGCAGAAACTAAGAAAAAGCATAACTTTTATATGAAAGTTTTACTTATATAATCTTAACAAAAGCTTTCTTTGGCTGGACGGCCATTGTTCTTCCCCATCTTGGACATTCTTTATAAAGAAGTCCTGCCTGAACTATTATACATTTATCACTCTTTAGTTCTTCTGAAGCAATACAGTCTTGTCAGTGTCAGGGAAGGGATATGCAATGTGAATACATTTTATTTATTCAACCAATATTTGAGCATAAAATTCAACCAATATTTGAGCATAAAATTCATTGCATGAGACACAATGAAGATAACAAAAAGTGTAAGTTATAGATCCTCCCTTCCAAAGGTTCCATTCTAGCACAGCAACAAGACACATATATTAACTTGCAAAGCAAGACACTGGGTCTTGTGTGAAAGACTTTGGGACTTCGAGGAGTGTGAGGTGATGGCAGCCTGCATGGAGCTAAGGGGTCTTTGTGTAGAAAATCATACTTGAGCTGGTCTTGGGATGGATAAGATGCTGTAGGGACAGCAGGATATTTTCAAATCCTGGGTGAAAATGGATGATTCACTTGTTTGCATGATTTGAGTACATATTCTATTTCCAGGCACTGTGCAAACAACTGCAAATACATGATTTCATTTGCTCGTTAGATAATATGAATCTCTTGAGGTAGAGATTATGATCTCCAATTTATAGATGAGGAACTTATGATTTAGAGAAGTAAAGCAATGTATAAGGTTCACAATGTATAAGGTAACAGTGGTGGAGACAGAGCTCCAACACTGGTCCGTTTGACCACTGAGCTTCTATCCTTACCCATGGTGCAATTCTGCCTCCCTACAAGGCCCTACTTTTTTTTCTTTTTTTTGCATTTGCTTTGCAATTTCAAAGAGAGGTTTCCTTTGTAATAAGTGTCCACCAAATGTCCAAATATGCCTTATGTTTATAGTAAAAATTAGGGCTATTGTTTTTTTTGTTTTTTTTTTTTTTTAAGCGAGGTGACCTTGTTTTGCTGTAGGTCTGTTAAAATATCACCTCTGGCCTGGGTTTTGAGATCTATTACACAGTTACGCTTAAAAACTGGTGTTTGTCTGGTCAAGGTATTCCCAAGATAAATTTTAAGAAGTTTTTAAAGGAGGCAGCAGAAGTCTTGTAATCTGGATACTATGCAGAGGTGAACATATGTGATTCTGAGCAACGGTGTAGTAAACAGCTTCCCCTGTCCCTGTGCCCCAGGACCCTGATAAAGGACACAACTTTCTCTTCTTCCAGGCCCTTTGAAGTTCGACTGTCTATATGGATTCTCTAATGATCTGCTGATTTGGGTTATGGCAACTCTTTACAGTAAAAGGAGCATCGAGGTTGAAGTCTCCTTTATGTACACATCACATTTACTCCACACTGGCTCATTCAGTCAGACTCTCTCTCCTTCAGTTTGGATCATCTTCCTAAAACATCAGCTTAATCCTGTGATCTCATTCCAAGCATTAGCTTTCCATCTGGTTCAGAGAAGAATAAAGAGCAATATGGCGTCTGCAGCAAATATTTCTTAGAGAGGCTCAGTACCAACCTTAAAAAGTATCTTAGCCCCAAAATGTCTCGTGTTAGCTCATCTCCACTCTGTGATTCTTGCCACAAAGACACCAATGAAGAGTTTCATCTAAATTACTCCAACTCCCTTTACTGGACCACTAAGGGGGTGCAGGGTGCAGTAAGAATGGGTACCTGAGTAGATTTTCCAGAAAGGAGAACCGAGGATGCTGGGAACCATCTTGAATTCTGGTGAAAACAAAGAATCTTTGGTATTCCATAATTCTTAAACTAGGCACCTTTCACTTTTCCTCACAAACATTTTTTTTTATGGTATGAATAGGAGATCAAAGCTCATTGTTCTGAAGGCTAAGGAGGTCCACTCCGGTTCAACCCAGTGCGGGTGATTTTGGCAAACGTGTTTAAGTATCCAGCATGAGGAAGTTCCCAATCTTGGCCCTCACAGGTAAATGCTAGAATTGCTATAATAATGTGTAGAACTGTGGTTTTAAGGCAAGACACCTAGAGAGCACTCAATATTTATTGAATTAAATGATAATATATGCACATTGCTTTATGCTCCTCAAAGAGTCTCTACAAATATTGTTTTATCATGTCTCTATGTAAGAATAGGAGGTTGGGAGGAAAAGTTCATTCAGCACAGTTCTGTCCCATTTTATTGGCGAGGATATTAAAAAAATCCACAAGATAAATGGGAAGGCAAAGAGGCAGCTCACCCAGCTATCCTGATTGCTAACATCCTGTCCTTCCCAGTCCTTATCACCTCGCTACCTTGTGAACCCTTCTTCTGCTTGGAATGCCCTCTATTCATGTAAGTGACTTCTTAAGATTTCATGTCAATGCTGTCTAAACTTTGAAGTCTATTTGATAAAAAGTAGTAATAGCACATTCCACATCATCTTCTGAATGCTTATTTTCTTGCATCTCTCTTCTGCCCTAGACTGTATGCTTGATGAGGACAGGAACCACTGAATTCCCAGTGACAGGCACTCAGGAAATTGTCATTTAATGAACAAATGAAACTTATGGTTTCCTCTTCTGAGTTCCCGTAGAAATTTCTATTTTTAACGCTCATTTAGCATTTAAAATGTTAACCTGACCATAGAAAGATGAGAAACATTACCTGCCTTATCTCCCTGATACCGAAAATCTTCTGACTAAAAGGACTTCATGTCTTTTATTTTCCACTACAGTTTAAGATGCTTAATGAATGCTGACCCTGAGGATAATATCATAATACTACCCCACTGAAAGAGACTCATTCATAATCCAATTCGGATGCAAGGTTTCAAGTTAGAAAAAAATATATAAAAAATATATAAGTTGCCTTTCTGATTATCACACACACACACACACACACACACACACGTACACACCACAGAAGTGAAATAATAAGGGACCTTGAGAATATTCTGTCAGTGATCACAAGATGTTTAAAGATGGAGGAAGTAAGTCTTCATAATTGTGGATATAGTAATTGCTTAAAAAAATAGTCCAAATAGTTATTTTCATCAGTGTGATTTCTGCGTGTGTGCATTGGGCGCCCCTTCAACGGCCATTTTTCCCTGAGATGCTCACAAGCATTCACAAAGGGATTCAGATTTGTGGGTCTCACATTCAGATGAATGCAAGAAATATCAGTTTCCCCAGGCGTATGTAATAGTAGACAAGAGACCATAACTTTCTAGGATGTTTTATAATACCAGCTGGTAGATCACAGACCTACCTAAGCGACAATCTGATGGAAGAAAGTAAACATGGTTACAATTATTCATACTCCTACTGTGGGAGTTTCATAAACAAACTAATAAATATTTTCATCTTGCAATAAGATCAAGTTAAGTGATTTGCTGACATTCTCTTGAGGTTTAAAGTTTGTCTTTAATGTGAAATACAAATCATATTTCTTGTGGACACATTTTAATAATAAACTTAAAAGCATACGAGACAAAAATAATGAAAACATTGCAACGAAAACCAAACTATCTACCACTTCAAAAGGAGTGAGTGAAAACTGCTCGTCAACACCGTGATGCAAACAGCCTCAGTGCGAAACGCCACATATTGAAATCAGGTTTCAAGGAAAGGGAATCAGCAGGGATGAGAGAATGAAAAACAGCTCTTACTTGAAAACAGGTAACTAGCTACAGGAAAATATACTCACCTAATACACACAAACACACACACAACACACACACACACACACACACACACACACACACACACTCCTTTTGCCCAACCTGTAGGGCAGACTTGATTTGGGTTCAGTTCAAATTACCTCCCACCTCTTTGCAACATCCCACAGGGAATGAGGGGTTTGGTCCCTCTTCTGGCCTGAGGTAGGGATCCAGGGTTTGATGCCAAAGCTGTCTCCAGGGAGGAGAAACTGGAGCACTTACTGCCTTTAGGAGCATTCTGGGAGAGGCCTCCTTGTCTCTCCTTCTGCTATGCTGCTCCCAAGGCCATGATCTAAGCCCAAGCCAGGGTGCTGGGGAGCGGCTCACCTCTGGGTCCTGTGATGACAGGTCGATGGTGCTGTGTGAACGCGGTTCCCAGGGAGGAGGTCTGCGAAGGGGAGGGGCTGCTGAAACCAGACTTCTCCGACTTCTTCAGTGTGGTTGGAGATGGCATTCCTGGCAAGAAGGATGGAGTGATAAGCACATTTTAATTCAGGGCACGGCAGCTTGTACTAAAAGATAAAACTGAAAGAATTAAAAAAAGAAATCCACCTGGGAGCACAGAATTTGTTTTGAATCAATTTGAATTTGTCACAGGAACCAACAGGGGACAAAATGGCCCCTTGGTAAGTCCACCTAGAATTGACTTCAACTTACTCTACTCAGTCACAGTTCCTTTTGGCATGATTGAACTTGTCTAATTACAGAGGGCCCCTGCCCAGAGTTTCCTGCAAGTTGTGTGTGCCTGTGGCCCATGGGAGCCTTCAGAAAGGAGGCTCTCAAAGGCACATGAAGACCCCATCTGCAACCATTTCATCTTGCCAGGTACCTTGCTGAAGCACGAAAGCACCTTCTCCACATTTTAAATAATTTAGCTATTTTCACATTAAAAAAAAAAAAAACCCACAACAATGACAATTCAGTTGCTCATCCAATGAATTATTTATAATAGAAAAAAGAAATAAAAGATCAAAGTAAAAAATCCTTAAATGCTCAACAATTGAAACTGGTTAAATAAATATGATCGAACCCATCCAAATCATACCGTCAGAGAAAAAGGACATTCCATTTAATGACATGGAATAAAGACATGGAAAGTGATTATAAAATAGGACGTTGTGCTGGGAGGCCACTTAAAAATATAGGTCTCTGTGCAGAGAAAGAACTGGAAGGAAATGCACATAAACTCTAACGGGGGTTCTCTGTGTGATGGATTTGGGTGGTTTTCATTGCCTCTTTTTGCTTGCTTGTTTCTCCTGTGATGAACATATATTACTTTTATGTTAAGAAAATACAATAAAAACTTGTTTTTAAAAATAGTATTTTTATCATATTTTCTGAGGTTTTCATAACATTTCCAGCATAGAAAATTCTTTGGGAGGAAAATAATGGGAAAATGGTCTCTTGTAATTACTGAGTTTGTAATGTTCTCGGCAGCCAAGCTGACACACACAACTGGAGGCATCGATCAGTTTGGTAGGGTGCCAATTAAAACAATGAAAACTTGGATATAGAAATAAAAGAAATGACTCCTTGTTCTCCACATCACAGGACAAATTTTGGCTCTCTTAAATTTGCAGCACAAAACTGGTCTGTAAGCACGTCAAAAGAATCAGCTCTCTTTTACTCACATAGGTCTACATATGTTGTATTCTATGACCAGAGAATTATTGGGGTGAGCTGGAAAACGAAGTAATAAAAATAATATTATATTAGCAGGTACCCGTTATTGAGTAGTTACTAACTCACATGCACTGTGCCAAGCACTTTATAGGTAAAGATCTGTCCCAAAACTTAGTTTGGCTTGTATCTAAATGCGTCCTTGTTATTTATGTCCACAGATTTCCTTCATAGGTTCTACAACACAAGCTTTGAGTGCGACTTCAGGTTCTATACGGATAGAGTGTGTTTTGTGTTTCGATTTTCAGAATATCCAACAAAGGGTCTAGAATGCAGTTAGTGGCCTGAGAAGATATTTAAACTAGGTGTCACAGTCTCAACTTTATCTGTGGCTTTACTAACCGACAAAGTAAAACTTGAGAGAGTTTGACCCCATGAAAGAAACAAATTGCAAGTTGGTAGGCAAATCTGCATGGTACCATGAAAAGACATTAGGAAGTGGTGTGTGATTTCACACCAACTGGGCAGATCTAGATTCCAGCCATTCCAGATCAATATCTACATGATTTGAATGAAAAAGCACATCACTCAGCAACTTAGCTATGTTTCCTTGCTCTTTGAATCAGTAACCAAAGTCACACCATACCAATATCCTAACACCATTAGGATAGATTGGGGTTTTGGACCAACATTCGTTGCAAGTAACTTAGCCTAAGGTATAATCACAGAACTACATTAGAGAGAGGATTTCCAATTTAAAAATTAAAGGGAAGAAATAAACGTTAACCAAAATGTAAACAAACCTCTCAATTCATTCAAACCTCTCCTGCGCAAAACACATTTTTAGGCTGCCAACCAGTCCACTGATTTAAGCTCAGTCAAATGCCTGAATTATGTGTCATGAAACAGAAATAGAACAGAAGATGAAAATGTCAAAACTTTTAAGATGGCAGAATCTTTTTCAGACAATGGAGTCACTGAGGAAACGCAGCATCTGAACTAAACTTATTAAAGAAAGCAAATGGTTGCCTTCACAGAAAAGGAAGCATTTCTTTGAAAAGTTCATGAGTTCCAACCCATGCCGTTCTAAATACGGCAGAGACAGTGACATGACTTAAATCCACCATTTACATTTACCCTTTTAAGAGGGGGAATGGAGAGGTAAGATTCAGGTAATCATGAACATGAAGAATGATGAAGCTGGTAAACAGATTCAAAAACAGCAAAATTCAAATTCTCCTTGAAGGGGTTAAAGAGAAAAGAAATACTGTCTGCATTCAAGAACAACAAGCCAAACTATGTATAATCTTCTAAATTTATCACAGTCAAGTAAGATGAACCCTAAGGCTGTCATGAATCTCAAAATTACTTCGTGTTTTCAATTTTTAAAGACTTATATTGAGCACATTTCTTTATTATATACTTTAATATTTTCTCCATATGTATAATGTATGTTTTGGTTAATTTGCTTCATATACTTAATTGACAGGATAAAATTTCAAAATGGTAGTAAACTACTTTATGTTAAAAGTGAGAGAACATTAATCTTGACTTTTATTTTTGAAATCAAATTTGGATTCTGCCCGTTAGATTAAAAGTAAGCTTCTTGTTACAATTTCTCTTACCAATTATCCATGCACAACTGTTATGCCATGGTTGTACAGATTAATGAATGATTGACTTTTTCTTAATAAAGCAAAACTTTGATTTCAATGTATTTTTCAGAAGCATCAGATTTTTTTAAAAAAGATTATAAAGAAATGCTGCCCTTTTTTCCAGAACAAACAAATTATTACTCCAAAGTTCTTTTCACTATGTAAAAATAAAGAATTTTATAGAACAAGCAGCAGAAATTTAGCAGGACGCTGTGTTTCAATGGGACATTTTCTCCTATTGATTGCTCTAAAAAACCCAATGGTGGCAAAGAAAATAGAAGATGGATTTCTTTTTTTTCCTTTTTCAACCTTTTTTCGGAGAGAATGAGAGAGAATGAACATGTATGAGTGGAGGGGGGGCGCAGAGGGAGAGGGAGAGAGAGAATATTAAGCAGTTCCTCAAATGCAGGACTTGATCTCACAACCCTGAGACCTTGACCTGAGCTGAAATAAAGAGTTCAATGTTTAACCCACTGAGCCAATCCAGGTACCCCTAGAAGACAGATTTCAAAAAGCATTTTGGCTTGTCATTGGTTTTCTAACCATCAGACTTTCTGAATTTCTCTCCACTTTGCCATTTTCCTAAGCTACCTGAGTTGTTTGAAATAGTGTCCAGGGGACACAGGCAAACATGAAATTCTAGTCATTCAATGACTCTGTTACTTGAAGGTAGTTATAAGTGAGAGGCCCAATAGGAAAACCTTGAAAGCAAAGGCCAGAAACAGTACTCACAAATATTCCATTATAGTCATCATTAATATTTGTGGTAGTCAGAATTCTAAGATGGCCCCAAGGCTCCTGGTCCCCGGGGTACCTACTCTACATAATCTCCAGTTGAATGTGGGCAGTATCTGTGAATATGATAGATGTTCTTCTCGTGATTAGGTTGTTGTATTGCAAAGGTGAAGGGACTTTTGCGATGTAATTTAGGTCCCTAATCAGATGAATCTGAATTAATTAAAAGGTTATTATCCTTGGTGGGTCTGACCTAATCAGGCAAACCTTTTAAAAGAGAGAGTAGAAGTCAGAGAGATTCTCCTGCTGCCTTTGAAGAAGTAAGCTGCCATGACATAAAGGGGTCTATGAGAGGGCCATATGGCAAGGAAATGCAGGGACCTGTAGGAGCTAAGCAGGGCCCCTGGCTGACAGCTAGCCTTAAGAAAGCCAGAACCTCAGTCTTAAAGCTATAAGGAACTCAATTCTGCCAATAATCACGAGAGTTTGCAAGAAGACTCAGAGCTGTAGTCCAGGACTACAAAATGCAGTCTGGACGAAATGCTGATTATAGCCTCGTGAGACCCTGAGATGAGGGACTACCTAAGTTGTGCCCAGACTCTTGACCCATGGAAACTGGTGATAATGGTAATAAATGGTAATAAATAATGGTAATAAATGTGTTTCGTTTTAGGCTATGTTTATGGTAATTTGTTATACAGCAATAGCAATCTAAGGTGTTACTCAAATATGAGACTACTGTCCATTCTAGAAATGTATGTATTAAAGATGTTTACTGGGAACTAATTATTCTCTAGAATTCCAGAAGCTTCTATCATTTTTAGCAAATACATGCTATATAGCGAAGTTTGCCTCTAGCCTACACTCACTCAGAGAAAACAGTTAGACATCTTTTTGGAAAAGAGGCGAATAAGTGGTTATTTCTAATGGCATAAATTTTATTTCCAAATAAATTTGGAACCTTTCTACTTCCCCCTGATTCTTTTAAGAAATACCAATAACAAAATCAGATCAAATGAGATGAAAAACCTCAAAAATAATTCTTGGGGTCACCTATAATAAATCAAGGTGTGTTTGGTAAGTTTTTCTACAACCTGATATTACAGAAAGTGAAAAAGAAGATACAGGGGAAAAAACGCATAATTAATTTCAACTCCATCTGTCTCCTAAATTTTGAGACTTACCAACTACTTTGACTAAGAACTTTATAGGGACAGTTATAAATCAAGTCCTACAGGAATGAGAAGAAAGTACAATGCTATATTTTGCTTAAGGAAGCTTCTTAAAGGGGATTTTTAGGAGTCAAGGAGGTACAATATTAATGGGAAGGTTGTTGGGAAAGGGAGAGAGCACAATAAACTATAACTATTCCAGAAACAATGGCATAACATGCTGGATTTTTAAAAAGGCAAAACTGTAACAAGTCAGTGTGAGCGCTTCCTCAAA